CTGCAGTTCAATTACTCACTATCTATACACACATTACATTCGTCACGTTGTCCCCTCTTATATATACCAGCCTACCCTATCTAGTAAATACTAGAGCATTCGCTAAGGTACGATATAGTTCTAGAAACTAGAGGGCGTGAGAATAGTCACGTGATCTCGATGACGCAACAATATTTTTACCCTTAAGAAAATGCAAGATAACAATCTAAAGATACAACAAAATGATTTGGCTAAGAAAAGAAAATAAGGATTTCACACTTGAAAATACAGATACAAATAAATAAATGTTATTTGAAATATTCCTGACACGTAGAATATTACGTTTCGGCATTTAACGTCAATTCTAAACGTGTAGTTATATGAGTAACCTTGGGGAAGGTTAGGCAGGTGCCGCCTGAAATTACGGTGCAAGAATAAAAGGCCTAATTATTCTAAATAATGATATAATTTATGAAATGTAAGTATTTAACAGTTACAAGAATTGTGTGCGTGAGTGTTGTGGTACTGATAATTTTAACGATATTTATAACTTCGCCATGTTAAGCCTCGGTGAATGTCGCCCTCCCTGTAAAGTTGCTTTGGCCCATGTAACAGTAAATAAATATTCGTAAAGGCAATGTGCACTTCTGGACAAGTTCTTGCACATTTTCAACATATTCACATAAATTATAATGTGAGCTTTGAATGAAATCATTTCTCGAGCTACCGTTGCCTGGTTGGCAAATGTTTGGATTATATAGTTTCAGGTTTCTAACGTGCACATCCAAGTCCTGTTAAATATATTAACGAGGTTTAGAACTAGCACCAAAAATAAAATGTGGGCTGAAAGGTCGAGCATGTTTGGTGGGATGGGGGATTCGAAACCACCTTTAATACGGAATGTAACAAACCTTCTCATAATTTTTCTAATACTTGTAAACAAAAATTTCTAGGAATTTCATTGAATTTGTTATCTACGATATCAATACATCTTACTGTTACGTCTCCGTTTGTTAATTGATTTTCCGTAAATTCGTTCCTACGAAACTTTAGCGACACAAGTCCTTTCTTAAATAAAACTGGTTTATTCTTTCTGAATATGACTTTACGATACACTTAATTTCAACAGTCGCGCTATAATTCTCAACGTACGTCTCAAGTGCTCGACTCCAACAATACTTAGTTCAATTACTCATTACCTCTCCGTCGCTTCGTGGCCGGCCGGTCTTATATATACAAGACTACCCAATATCTAGAAGGATCACGAGATTTAAGGAAAAGACGTGAAAGTTCGAGAATGACGTGGCGTGTTACTAGTCACGTGACCTCGATGTCGTAACATTACGTTAAAGATCGTTGTAACTAAATAAATAGATTATAATTTTCTGCCATTTTGAGAAAACAAAAAAGAGAGAGAACCTCCCTTCCAAAAATTTCTATAAACAATAGGGAGTTTTCAATAGCCGCGGCACTTGAAATTCCTTTAGGCAGGATTAGAGTAAATTAATCTATGAGACCTTGAGCGTGGTAAGATACATCACGAGAAAGAGTCTGACCTTCTGAGTCAAAAACTGTAATTAGATCTCAGATCGGCTAAAAAATCATTCACTCAGTACACATGTCTTACTTGTCATCACTATTTTATCACATAACTTTCCATCTGTATGTATGTCTGTTTTCTGGCTAGTATCGATACCTGTATGTATGTGTGTTATCTGGCTAGTATCGATAACTGTATGTATGTATGTGTCTGTTCTGGCTAGTATTGATACATTTATTATAGGTATGGGATTTTACTCCTTTTTTTTCAAACAATAAAAATTTAAGCAACTAATCAGTAACATCCACCAAATTATTGTAATTACCTAAGGTAAGATTATGTTGTTGTTTTTACTATAAGCCTGCTCTTTCACATACAGATTATCTTTCTTATGGGCAAAACTGCAATGTACACGTTTTTTTTTCGCGATACTAACAATGGCTAAAATACTGTCAACTCCAATACTTTATTTTCAGCACTTCCACAAAATGAAAAAAAAATGTTGTTTAATACATTTTCCCTCCATTATTTGTAACATATTAAAACATATCTGAGAAGATACCAACAGACTTGTATACCTAATCTGTTATCAGTGATAATGAAAAGAAACTGATGGTTGATTAAGCCTAAACTTGTGATCAGTATCTTAGTAATATCAAGTACTTTTTACATCTCAAAACTAAAGTTCGAAAGCAGAGATATTTTGCAAAATTTATACCTTGCTATTCTTTCAAGTGAAGATATTTAGGTGATCGGGTGTAAAACCTTAGAACATTTTTAATGTTAGGCTCATCGGGTGATCACACAAATACAAGTTAATCATGGTAGTTTGTTGTGTAACTTGTAGCTTCGTTATATTGTAGCGTAGAGGAGATCACCAAACATTTCGGTCCAGTCTGGTTATCTCATTGTTGTAGACTGTTTACGTTGACTTCAAAGATTCTTTAATCTGCCTGATAAGTAATCAGAAGTGAATTCCACTCTTCCAAGAAGTTTTCATGCTAGGAAATAATTAAACATATACGCATTCGACTGGATCCATATTGAATTTTCATTCCTAGCCATGACACGATTTTATTCCTCCAAAAATGAACTCCCCATATGGGAATAATCTTCAAAAATATCAAATAGGATTTCTTGCACCCGACTGGGAATAGACTTGATTTGTTTTCATTCTTCTCAAAAGAGTTATCGGAAGAAATAGAGATATACTATAATTTACATGAAATAATAACTTGAAAACGTTTTTTTTTTCATTGCTATGTAATATATGTAAAGTTTTAGGTTATATAGCTAAATCCTAAACGTGTGTGATAATATTAACCTATTTTTGTTTTTGTAGGGAGTTGCCAATTTCCAGCTAAATGGTCTGGTAGTTGGTTTCAAAAGGGAGTCCAAGACCCTATCTTAATCTACAATGGCACTCTATCCAGTAAAGGTGTTTGTAGGGATATCAGCGGGGACAAGTTTCTTATAGAGAGCAGGTAGGTTAAGCATTATCAAATAAATATTTCGATGTGTGATATGGTTAAAGTGTGGTAATTTAGTTAATATCAAAACAACAAATACAAGATGTAGTACACTTAGAGTTGATCATCACCATGAAATTTGATTTATGTTATTTTTACGAATAGTAGCAAAAAGGATTATACACTATTTTCGTTGCTCAATTGTACAATATCATTCTGTGGAAAAGAATGAATAAAAGCATTAAAATTATCTATTGCCGTCCATTATATATGTTGAATCCAGGAGTAGAATCGCACTCATATATAAAAGAAACATCAACTAAAATTAAGATTGATATAACTGTTATCACAGCACGAACTAAATAAATAATTTGGTTCATTTAGCCTCCTTTTGAATAAGGATCCTCCATATTTCACACAAGATGTAAGTGATGCATTCGTTCATACAAGGTAAGAGGATGCCTAGCAACGCGCCCTCTGGTGACAAATTGTGAAACTATGACGTCATCGTCTTTAATGAAACCGTTCTCTGTACCCGAGTCCGACCCACGCGTGGCGCCCTCTAACTACGTGTCTTGCAAGTGGGGCCCTAACTACTCATATAGCTTTGTTATGAATTTCGCGCAAAGCTACACGAGGTCTATCTGCGCTAGCCGTCCCTAATTTAGTAGTGTAAGACTAGAGAGAAGGCAACTAGTCATCACCACCCACCGCCAATTCTTGGGCTACTCTTTTACCAACGAATAGTGGGATTGAACGTCACTTATAACGCTCCCACAGATAAAAGGGCGAGCATGTTTGGGGAGGATGGGGATTCGAACCCTCGACCCGCAGATTGCGAGTCGAACTCCTTAACCACCTGGCCATGCCTGGCCACTCATATATCATAAAGTTACGTGTATTTTTCCACACAGTTTCAATTCACTGGACCCCAGTCCGATCCACTCATCTTCATTACAGGTTATTTAGTGTCATAACTAGCTGACCGCAAATTAAAAATACTAGGACGTCTTCCTCTACTCGGGTTTTCTTTATGATAATCCTGTACAAAATGAAAAAAATGATTACTATTTTTGTTTGTATGACTTCCGTAATTAGACATCTTCAGTGTCCACTTTTATTATTTTCATTTAAATAATCCTAGAAAATCCTAATGAGCGTTTTTACAATAACTGATTAATTTCTCAATGGAATAACTAAGACATTAAATTACCTTCTATAATCCTTGTTTGTTGGTTTTCTTTGCATAACTAGATTTAGCAGCAAGAGTAACAGATACAATAGGTAGCAAATTATGAAAATAAATAAATATGTAAATACATATACGTCCAGCTATTTTGCGTGAATTTATTTAGGCTTTAGGGTGTAAACGCTATAAAGCGACTTTATTTTACACATAAACATTAATTATTTGGATCGACAAAGGGCTAACTTTCACGCATTATTCTTATGTTTGTTGTTAGATCCAAAGCTACACAATGAGCTATCTGTGGTGTGCCCACACGTTTTTAGCGTCATAAGACCTTAGGCTTACTGCTGAGCCACTGGAGAGGAAGCAGGGGAGTATGCGCTTTAAAACAGATTCAAAATTGTAATGATTTTCATTGTAATGACTTCCACATGTGACAACAGCTGTTGGAGATGATTATTACCCAAAAATTGTCTAATGAATTATTCAATAAGTTCACAAAAACTATAAATTACGTTTGACAACTCCGTTACGGAATCGAATGAGATTAGTTCGTCCTTATATACTATTTTTGTAATAATCTTTAGGTTTTGATAAAACAAACCATTTAGATGAAAGGATATTTTGGTCGGATGTTAGGTTATAGGTAACAGCAGGTTGTAATTATTTTCCAATGAGTAGAAACATCCTGGTAATTAAGCTAAAGCTTAAGGGTTAATTAAATGAGGCTTAATGCAATATACTATTTCTGTGAAGTTATAACAATCTCTAATCATCAATACGAATAATTTTTGAAAAGGAAGTAAACTCGATAAGAAATTTAACCTCGGTTCTTAAATTAGTTTGAGCTTATTTAATCTAGGATGCACATGATATTATCCCAATGTTATTTTTAAAAAGCAGCCTTGGAAAGTTGAAACAAAGAATTCCAGGAAAATTGTTCATTCCTTTTGTCTCATTTGTGGTTAAGCATAAAGCTACACAATGAGCTCTCTGTGCTGTGCCCACCATTGGTATTGGAACCCGGTGCTTAGCGTCATAAGCCTTCAGCTTTACCATGGAGCCACTGGGGGTGGGGGTGGGGGGGGGGGTGAGGGCGTTGTTCATTGAAGACAGGTAATCTTTCAACTTGTTCTCTCTGGAGTAAAACCTCACACTAATTCTGCCCATCTAGCATTAAGGTTTGTTTTATTTGTTTGTTATTAAGCACAAAGATACACAATAGACTGTCTGTGCCCGCCACGGGTATTGAAACTAGGATTTTAGCGTTTTAATATTTCAGGCTTACCTCTGAGCCACGGGAAGGAGGACAGCAATTTTAGAAGACAGTATAAAGTATGGAATCCCTACGGCTACTACTACAACAATGAAACAAAATCTCCCCACAGAAATATGGGTGAATTGTGATATATAATGAACATTATACAGAGACGTCAAAGATTACTTAGCATTGAAGCCTCAATATGCTAAAACACAAGTGAGCTACTGAATGTACCAAATTAAACCAGAAAAGGACGGGTGATTAAATACTGGTGTACCAATTTAGTTAGAGAAATGTGACAGAACCTTCCGACCCCAACCATGCCTCGTCACAGTGATTCAACTATTCCAGTAGTAGAAAAGACTTCTCTGCTTAGCCACGTAGTAAGGTTTAGATGACTCTCATTAACAGTATGAAAAATACATATATAACAATAATTCTTATCTTCAGTAACTCGTTTGGAAACATAACATTACCACTAATCTAGAGCCGAGAGTTTGGCATGACATTTTCTGGTACGCATGTCGTACGTTCTTAACGAAGTAAGTGGCCGTGTACAAAGACATGTCCATCATTGAAGTAACCATTTTTTTTTAATTTTGTACATTTCTTTCGCTTTGAACTCTCTTAAATTTTGATGTACATTAGAATTTTAATCCAGTTAAGTTGGAGTAGGGTCATTCGAAGCTGGTAAAACTGTAATTCTATTTTAACTGCAGATTTCCAAATGCGTATTATAATTATTACCCGGGGATATATGGTATTTGATTTCATATTTTTCACTCATTTCTGTAGTTTCAATGATAAAATACTACAGATGTTATGAAATGGGAAAGAAAACAAGTAAACAACAATGTGTGTGTGTAATGGAACTATTATAACAGTTATTTTCTTTTAACCAAGCTCTGACCGCATAGCTTAGGATTAGGCGTTTTCAAAAGGCTTATGTTACGTATTCAAATATATTTAACTTCACTGCATGATATTACCCAGTAAACTTAGGTCGAATGTTTTAATATTCATCTACAAAAAAACATGTAGTATCTAAAAAAAAAAAAATATCCACACTTACTTCGTTATCAAAACAATTTTTTAAAACTTTATCTAATATTATTTAACTCTTTGCTATGGAGATTATCATCCTGGGATGAGTTTCTTTGACAACCGAAAAAAAAAAAAGAGAGAGGGAATCCTCAATAGCCGTGGCTGTAATTAGACCTCAAATCGGTCAAGAAATGGAGCTACGAGCTAAATGTTTGCCGCGCCTAAAACGTAGCAATTAAAAGGTTGATTCCCTAGTTCTTGTATACGACATGGTGCGGGTGGTGTTTTTAACATTTGCCTTTTCTATTGCCATCACAATCCTGTGCTAGAAGCAATGAATCATTTCAAATATATCACAACAGTCGTTGTTCGTGAAAATTGATTTTATATATAGCGCATAGACCACTACTATGTCTGTTATATCCCAGCCGGCCTGATGAGCCCTGGTATTTAGCGAAAGGCCTCGGCGGCACTGGATATAGCAAATGTGGTGTGGTTCTTTGACCTGCTCCGGGAAGAAACAAACGAGTTTGCTGGTTCCCCAGTTCTTCTGAATGAATTTAATTCAAATGAAGTAATGATGATAAAACAAATAAATACTCAGTGTTAAAAAGTAACAACAAAATATATAATCTTGTGTTATTAATTCTTAAACTAAAATACTGAATTCTAAATTACTTAAATAAAATTAATAATAATTATAATACACCTATTTAATCTGATTCAACCCATTAACAGATGTTCACGAAAACTGATTATACATGTATATATATATATATTGCCTAGACCACTACCATGTCTGTCGTATTCCAGCAGGCCCGATGAGCCCTGGTATTAAGCGAAAGGCCTTTTCGGCATTAGATATAGCAGATATGGTGTGTTTGACATAGTATAGCACAGGGATTCCCAACCTTTTTGTTCCTCTGTACCCCTTGGTCCTGGGCATTCTGGCAGGTTCCCATGTACCCCTAAAAATTAAGGATCAAATATTAATAAAATTATATTGATTTTATATTATTTTATTATGAAATCTGCATGTGTGGACTGCATAAGGATCTTATATAGTATTGATGACATCGATAAATTGAACTCAGTGAATTTATAAATTATCTTATTATATTGTCAAAACAAAATACTAATATTAATGACATGTTTGAGCCTGTTTTTTGACAACAAGTTCATTAACATGAGGGCAAACTTTAGCAACTCTCAGGCCCCTATGTACCCCCTCAGAAGTGCAAATGTACCCCTGGGGGTACATGTACCACAGGTTGGGAATGTCTGATATAGCATATCTCCCTTTGCTTTCACTCGTAGGTTCCGAGAATTATTGCTTTCTCCCAACAGGGTGCGTTAAGCCGAATACTTCAAAGAACTGAAGAACAAGCAAGCATATTAATAACGTGACTTAATACAAAAACAGATATGGTCTCAACAGTTTCGGTTTTGGGACTGAGTTTTCTTGCTTTCAGGAATTCAAATTCTTGTGTCATTTATCCTACGGATTTTTAATTATTGGAG